ATTTATTAAATCCTGTTCACCTTTTAAAAACCACCAGGAACGGCTGAACAGCCTTTGTGCTTTAAACTCCCTCGCAGCACTGGGACTTGCAGATACTGGAATTTGTTGGAGCAGCCCATGGAAACCCTCCCCAACGTGCCTGAAGTTCCCAGGGAAGCCAAGAGAACGGTACAAACCTCAGCCCCGCCCAGGGGGAGCGTCACCTTCACCAGGCTTTGTTCTGCAGGACTGGAGCTGGCTCCCAGCCCAAGCACAGACAGGACGTGCAGCTGATGCTCAATGGAAACAGCTGGGGATGGATGAGAAGGGTCAGATGAGAGATACCAAAATGTCAGACAGCCTACCGACTGTTGTTGCCATGAGATCCAACAGTCAACATCAGTCTGATAAGCTATCCGACAGGATGGTACAGCCATGGCATGGCAGGACGCTGGCAGCACCACGGGCTCCAACACACCTCACCTCACCTGCCTCCAGCCCTGCCCAAGCCAGCCTGGGCTCTGGGCCACCTCCTCACAATGCTCTTTAGAAAAATAAATTAGTTCTCGCTGCTTACCCCCCTAGGATAAAAATAAAAACCAAATTGTTCACAAGCACAAGGTGAGAGCAATGCAGGTACAGCAGCAGTGGGGACTAAAGAGGGAAAAGAGCCATTTTTGTATAAATTCTGTTTCTGGACATCTGAACTGGCACGTGCTGATCTTAACAATCTTGACTTTAAAAGCATGAGGCTAAAGGTTCTCTGAAGTTCTCTGCACCATTACTGGGTAGACACAAACTCTGCTTTCAGCTGGAATCTGATCTCTTCCCCCTCTCTCCTCCACTGCCCACAGTTCTGGGCTCAGAGGCAAACACCTGAGCAGAATTTAGGATAACAAATCTTGTTCTCTATTTCACTTACTTAAGCACTGACTGTGCTTCAAGCAAGGCACAGCCTTCCTCCTCCCTCTGCCAAGCAAAAAGTTCTGAAGAGAAAAAGAACAAAAAAAAAAGAACAAAACAAAAAAGAACAAAGGGTTTGAGCACCATTAGCACGGGAAGGATGAGCAAACATGCACAGAGCATCCAAAAGTGAGAGAGGAAAAGAAACAGCTTAAAAAGACTGACACAAGAAATTCTGGAATGATCATAAGATGACTTTATAAAGTTTTTATCTTAACTTCATTCTAAATATACAGAATAAAAAATGTTGGCTTCAGCATTTTGACATCAACCATCTCTGCTAACATCATGAAGTTGGAGAGGGCGGCTTTTCCAGCGTGCAATGCAATGGGACACTGGGAATTCAGACAGAACAGCCTTACCATGAGGGACATGCAACAGTTTGTACCCGACCTGGACTCAGTTATTTACATTTTCATGGTCTTGAAACTTAAGGAAAAAGCAAACCAGCCACCCTTCAAAAGAAAATGTTACCCTCAGGTGATTTTGAAGTTAAGTCAGGAGATGGGGAGTATTAAATCATCAGTTTTGGAAGTAATTTGGATAGACAACATTTGTGTTAAGCTCCATTTAACATCCCACTGCCCATCCTGTAAAACACAACCCAGACTCATGAAGCATTCACACCTTTCCATAACATTTATAAGTTTGTCAATGAAACAGTTGCTGTAATATCCAAATTACTTTCAAAATTAAAAAAAAAAAAAAAAACAAACTTGTTAGGAGTTGAAAATTGATGTTAAAAATTTTCCCCACTTTTGAATAATGCTGTTTTTAAACATATGAAAAGATGTATCATTTCTCATGTCTGCCAAAACCCATCGTGAGGGGTTTTTCCCATTTTTTCCAAGCTCATTTGGTTTTTTCTTCTGAGTACATCTTCTGTTGCAGTCGCTTGGCATAGCTCTGGGCCATGGAGTTGATTATAGATAAGATAAAATAACAAACCATGACAATCACCAATTTTTCAAATATCCAGGATAGCCAGTTTTCCCCCTGAAGAGACAAAACGGAGGAGGAGAATGACGATTAGTGGACAGGAACACGGAGAGTTCTGGGTGAAAGGGGAAAGCCTGACCGTGTCTTTAATCTGCAATTAATCAAACTAAAACCAGGAACCAAGTGCGAGCTGACAGGATTCCTGCAGGTCCCTCTGCAAAGCCGACTTTAGTCCCTTGAAAGAAAATGCAGGAGGGGCTGAAAATCCACTGGCGGGCAGATGACGAATCCCTGATCATTCCCAGTGCTCCCAAAGTGATTTATTATTCTCAGTATTGTCTGGGCTTCCTTAACAATTCGTGGAGTTCAGAATTAGCAGCCCCTGCCTGTCACTCCCTGTCGAGTTCCTCGCTCAGAAAACCATCAGGTCGTTGGTTAATAATAGGGTTTTTTCCCTAAATTGCCTTTTCTGGCTTATTTCCCCATTAGGATCCTACTCTTCGGTGTCCTTGAAGTTCTGCAGCATTTTGCAGGGGAATTTTAAGCTGTGCTTTTTGTCAAAGGAGGGCAGCAAAGCTCAGCTCAGCTCAGCAACCACCGCGCATTTCCAGGCTCCAGGCAGAGCCTCCCCAGCTCCGGCTCTTTTGTGGGAACAAACGGGCACAGGGACATTTCCAACAGCTCCAACTACTGCACGTGAAATGTGAGTTGGACCCATGGATTTTATCTAAAAATGCCTCAGCAGCCTAAAGAATTTCATGTCAAAGCTGCTCTGTCCCACTGAAAATTCAGGGTAAGTTTTTAGAAATACTTAAAAAAAAAATTTAAATACTTTTTCTGTATCAAAGGACACTTCTGCCTCTTGTACCTGCCCCAAACAGTGTATTTCTTGTCCTTTCAAAGACTAAAGGCTTGGGGATTTTATTTCTCTTACTGCCCACTGAGCCACAGATCCCACCGGCTTCTGAAGCATCGGTGCTGCCCCGTTTGTTACCATTTCACGTGCAAAGGCAACTTTTTTCTCCTTAAATTTAACTTTCCGAAGAGGCAGCTAATGCAGTATCAAGCCACTGGTTTTAATTTACACTTCAATTTTTTCTCTAAAGAATTTAAATCCAGTAGCACACAATTAACATTTTTAATTCCCGGGTTGCTTCTAAAATGAGATTTTTATCTATTCCCTGGGTCAGTGCAGATCTTTCACAAATAGAAAGGGGAGTTACGTTTGTAACAACTACAAGTCTAAGGCAGGCAGGGAAGGGAAAAGTGAGCCGGGGAGGGAGGGAGGCAGAGAGGGTCTTACCTGTGGCACAGCACTGTCGGATTTGTGGTGAAGTTTTATCCTCTGAGCTTCCAAATATTCTTGAAATGGCTTCTGAAGAGAAGGACCTATACTCGGAATAGCACTGATGGAAAGTTCATCCCAGAGAACAAGATAAAATAGAGGAGGAAAAAAAAAACACGAAAAAACATTTTTTTAAAACTTACCACTTTACCTAATCAGAACAAAGTTCAGCTGAGCCACAGCTCAGCAGAGACCTCGAAGCTACTCGAGAAAACAGAAACCCAAGAAATAAATCGCATTTCATCTTTTGATCTGATACTTCGGGAGGGATGCGTTTCCCCAGATCCTCAAAAAGTGCTTCAAAAGAAGAAGATCCCAGAGCACTGGGAAGAGAGGAGGAAGCGAGAGCCGGAGCATTTCCTGGGAGGCAGCAGCGCCGAGAACCCAATGAATGACTTCGGAGAAGTCCCACATTTATCAGCGGCAGTTCCTGTAAGAACTGGTTTGAACCGATTAACGAGGAAATGACTGGGGCTCGCTTGTGTCATCCCCCGGTTAAAAAAGAAACCGCTGGCCCAAGCCTCGCCCCTCTCCCGCACGGAGCCGGCCCCTCGGCCCGGCCAAGTCCTTTTTAGGACAAGCCGTGCGTCATCCCGGCCCCAAAGAATGCGGGAGCGATCCTGAGCGCCTCCCCCGAGCCGGGATTAACAAAGGAACAAAGGAGCGGCCCCGAGCCCGGACCCGAGCGCCGCCCGGCCCCGGCCCCGCTCCAAAGCCGGGATGGGACCGGCTCGGCTCCAGCGGCCTCAAATCCTGCCTGCAGGAGACCCAAACCCCGCTAAGGATGCTCACAGCCCTTCAAAACCTCCCCAATTAAAATATAAATTCGAAATGATCAGCAGCGACCGCACGGTCTGAGCTGTGAGGGGAGAACATTCCCAGAGTTGGATCCACCCCATCCCAACCCCAGCACGGGGCAGTTCTCATCACAGACCACCTCCACTGCAAAGAGAAGGGAGATTCTGATTTTTGTTTAAAGAAATCACTGTGTTCTTCTATGTTGTTAAACTCCCCAGATTCAAATATAAATTCAAAATTATCAGCCATGGGGCCTGAGCTGTGTGGGAACATTCCCAAAGTTGGATCCAGCCCATCCACCCAGCACAGGCCAGTTCTCATCACTGACCACCTCCACTGCAAAGAGAAGGGAGATTCTCATTTTTGTTTAAAGAAATCACTGTGTTCTATGTTGTTAAACTCCCCAAATTGAAATATAAATTCAAAATTATCAGCAGCAACCCCACGGTCTGAGCTGTGTGGGAACATTCCCAAAGTTGGATCCAGCCCATCCTAACCCCAGCACAGAGCAGTTCTCATCACAGACCACTTCCACTGCAAAGAGAAGGGAGATTCTGGTTTTTGTTTAAAGAAATCACTGTGTTCTTCTATGTTATTAAACTCCCCAAATTCAAATATAAATTTGAAATGATCAGCAGCAACCCCACGGTCTGAGCTGTGAGGGGAGAACATTCCCAAAGTTGGATCCAGCCCATCCCAACCCCAGCACGGGGCAGTTCTCATCACTGACCACCTCCACTGCAAAGAGAAGGGAAATTCTGATTTTTGTTTAATTTTAAAGAAATCTACATTGTACATTATCATACACGTGGTCTTCTACATTAAAAAAACTCACCTAAATTTTGATTATTTGGTTTTGTTATAACCACTACTCCTGCTCTGCTCCAGGGAGGGTTTAGTGAAACCCCTCAGACCCAAGGTACACCAGGTGTACATCCGAGGAGTTGTACAATTCTCTCCCTCCCTTCCCCTCAGCCTCCTGATCTGACACCATATTCTCTTTTCCAGGCCGAAGCCCAATTAAAAAAGAACAGCTTTCTAATTTTAGGAATTTATGAAAAGCACGAAACAAAGTGTCTCATTCTCCTCCAGCAAATCTATTTATTTCCTTCATGGCCAGGGGCAAAGGAGGTTTTTTGAACCCATTTCCCAGCAAAAGGTCGCTTCCCTCGTGATTCACCGCCGGGTGAGGAAATTCTGTGCCCGGACTGGTAAAAATTCTGGGAAAAAAAAAAAAAACAACCTTGTGGTGCTCAAAGCACGTCCCTTATCCATTTTATACAATATGTGTCAATGTTCCAAAGGATCCCAATGCTCCAGAGGTGTCTCAGCACTGCCCATTCCTGGGAAAAGCTCTCCCAGGGACTGCAGGACGAGTCACGCCTGAACATCAGCGACATTTTGAGGTTTCTTTTCTTTCTCACCCAATTCTCGGGAGGCCTGAGGAGCGACTGCAAGGTAATGGTTTACTTTTGAACTTCTGCATGATTATGAAATGAGGAATATTTAAATGGTGAGGGATCAATGATTAACAGGGTGGTGTTCCAATGACTCCGTTCCTCACCGAAATCTGAACTGGGTCAGTCCCCAAATCGAATTAAGCACAGAACAAAGACATGAAACCCAAGGGCAGAGCCTTCAGGAGCTCCTGGTGCATCAAAACAATATTTCAAAAGATTTCTCACTAAATAATTCACTTTTTGTTTCCTTTTCTGGGCATGACTATTAGTTAAGTGCACAAAAGTAATTTTATCAAAGCAATTTTAAAGAACTGCAAGATCCTAAATGCAAGGACCTCAGCTCCTATTTTTGGTACATTTGTAAAAATTTTAATTCTGAAAAAAATGTGCATAGATTTAAATAAAGAGTAAAAAATAAGCATAGGAAAACCTAGAAAATCAGGGATCCACATTAAATTCTTGAAATCCCATCTCAGCAGCACAGTGTTGGTTACCGGTGATTTTTGGAAAAAATTAAATCATTTAATCACCCAGTTATGTGCCACCAGATATCCAAAGGCACAATCTTCAATCGAAAAATCTTGAAAAAAATTTAGTTTAAGTGAGTTGTGTCTTTGCAAACCCCAGAAATCCATCTCAGAGATCCCTCAGTGCTGATCCAGGAGGGGAGGGGGAATTGGGGGTGAATTTTGTGGGATCCGGGTGGGACCAGGCAGGGCCCACATTTACATCACAATTCCTGCACTCAGCACCTCCAAAAAACCGAAAATTTCCCAGCAGGAAGATGCTGGAAGATAACCCCGGAATAATCCAAACCCAATTCCCGGGGGTTCCTTTCCTTTGGGAACCAAACCCATTGTCTTTCAAACCCAGAATATGGAAGGAGAAATTCTGATTCCGACGTTGTTTTCATCCAGAAGTTGTTTTAGAAACTCTTAACGTTAAATATTAATTTTCCCTTTGGATTCATCCTGATTCTTTTGCTAAACTTTAATGTTTCACAAGGAATGAAACTGAGAACAGGCTCCCCAAAATTGCAGTAGCCTTTGGCAATCCTAAATTCACTAAAATCATACAATTTCAGTCAAAACCATGATTTCTGTTCTAACACTTCAACAGAAAATACCCATAAAAAATTAGGATTCACTGAAAAAACACTCTTGGTGCCTGTTTTCAGAACAATTACCTGGTACTGGTAATTAAACAGATGCACTTTTTTTTTTTTTTTTAAACTCACAGCTACAATTTGTATCCAAAAGACAAATTCTAAAGCTCTTTTTCCAATAAATAAAACAAAACTCCCCATCTGTTTGAAGCACCACATGACACAGACTCAGCAAAGTTGCTCGAGGATTATTTTAAAAACTACACCAAGAACCTGCAGAATTCTTGGGAGTTTTTGAGTCCAAAATCTTCCAGTCCAGTTACAGCAAATCTGAGTTTAAATTTAATTAATTTGCTATTCTAAGAACAACTGTCAACAGTTGTACCTCAAATGCCTTTCACTGGTCATTAAGTGATTTTTTGGGTAACTTTAAATCTTTTTAACAGAACCTTTGTAACTACAGAAAGATTTTTCTGCAAGGCACCAGGATGAAGCACCAACCCCAAAGAAGAAAAAATTGAATTTTCCCTGGGCTAACTTACAAAAAGTAGAAAGTTGTTTGATATTCCAGTCTGCATTTTCACCAATATTAAAAATATTTATTTAAAACTATTTTTAAATGGTATTTGCACTTCTGAAAGGCACAAATTTCATCTTACAAGGTCTTTAGGAGCATGGGTTGCTCTTGAGTGACTGAAATCTCTCAACCTGTGTCTTGAGAGGTTGGGAATTAATAACTCAGGGAATTAATAACTCAGGGAATTAATTCCAACTCTGATAAATCCTCGAGTACAGGTCTCTATCAAATGCTGCTCCTCAGTGTCATAACACCAATATCTAACAAATAATCTGTCACACCATAAATTAGCGTATAAAATTCCCATTTTATCAAAGAATATGTGGATATTTGTTCACTTTTCCAGGGAGAAATGTTAGAATTCCCAAGTGTTTCCCAAAAAAAAAAAAAAAGACTCAAATTTTGGGAACAAAACCATGGGATTTTTCATGAATGAAAATGTGAAAGTTTATGGAAGTTTGCCATTTATTAGAGGCCTCAGACAGCAGCTGATCAATAACCCTGAGCTGTTCTCAAACTGATCCTGATGGAATTAAAAATGGAAATGAGAACCTCAGTGCAGGCAGCCCTGAGTCTGAGCCCTGTCAGCAACTGGGATCCATCCCAGTGGGATGCTCAGGAAACTGGGAGCACTGGGGGGAGGGCACAAAGATGGGAGTTAATATTCAATTTAATTTAATTTAATGACAGAAATTCCAACCTGGAGGGAAACCAGAGCCCCGTGGGGGAGCAGGAGGTGCAGACAAGGCTGGACACACCTGGGGCAGGTGATGCAATATTGAGTCAGGCTCCACTTTATGGATAATTCCTCCAAGATTCACAGCCCTCAGCTTGGAAAATCCCTCTGACTCCTCACACTGGGGCAAACACCAGCAGGGTTTGCCCAGATTCAGCTTTTTGGGCTGAAACAGCCAGAGAAAAACATCCTTTGGGAAATGGCAGCACAATTCCAAGTGAGGAACACAGGGAAGGGCTTTGACCCAGGAGCAGCAAATCCCTCAGGCTGGCACTGCCCAAGGCCAGGGATTATCTCCTGCTGCAGAAAAGGGAGGGAAGAGGCACTGAGGGATCCCACAAAGAAAGGGAATGTGCTGGGATGGGCTCCTCCCTGCTGGACCTTCACCTCTTTTTAAAGAATTTATTTATTTCTATTGGATTATTGACAGCCAGGCCAGAGGGGGAAGGCAAAGGCTTTCACCTTCCCAGCATTTACGGACATCATTGAACAATCCCACCAATTGTATGAGATTCCCATTTCTCCATTCCCCTGTGGGAACACAAGAAAAATCCATCCTGCAGCTCCAAAGCAATAAAACATTTAAGAACAGGCACCGAATTTGGGAATTTTAGTATTTAGGGTATTTTACCCACCCCTCCCTCAAAAATTTCACTCCAGCACGGTGGTATCGACTTCTTTGGAAGACAGATATTTTAAAAACCATTGAAAAACAGATTCCAGTGGAAATATTTTTATGCCACTGGCCAATAAGCAAAGCTGATTCATTTGCATAACGTGTCCCTTGTTCAACAGGGCACCTTTCTTCCTGGAGCCCTCTGAGCCTGCAATGGTTAATTTTTTTCCAGACAGTGATCTAAACTGGCTCAACGGTTAGTATTTTAATGAGCTGTCATTTCCTGTGCTGATAAAGATTCTCACAGTATTTAAACCATCCACTTCCCCGAGGCTCCACCACCAGCAGGACCCTGCAGTGACTCACGGCTCAGCCTGAGCCTGACTCAGCCCTGGCAGCTGGGGCTGCCTAAAACCCGGGTCAGGCTTAGGGAAACCTGGGGCTGCCTAAAACCCGGGTCAGGCTCAGGGAAACCTGGGCTGCCCAAAACCCGGGTCAGGCTTAGGGAAACCTGGGCTGCCTAAAACCCGGGTCAGGCTTAGGGAAACCTGGGCTGCCTAAAACCCGGGTCAGGCTTAGGGAAACCTGGGCTGCCTAAAACCCGGGTCAGGCTCAGGGAAACCTGGGGCTGCCTAAAACCCGGGTCAGGCTCAGGGAAACCTGGGCTGCCTAAAACCCGGGCCAGGCTTAGGGAAACCTGGGCTGCCTAAAACCTGGGTCAGGCTTAGGGAAACCTGGGCTGCCCAAAACCTGAATCCTGGGAGCTGAGGTTTCCCAAAATCTGGTTTAGGTTTCTGAAAACCTGAGGCTGCCCAAAACCTGAATCCTGGGAGCTAAGACTGCCCAAAACCTGACTCCTGGGAGCTGGGGCTACCCAAAACCTGACTCCTGGGAGCTAAGACTGCCCAAAACCTGACTCCTGGGGTCTGGGGCTCCCCAAAGCTGGGCCCAGCTCCCTTTCCAGCCAAACCTGAGGAGCAAGCAGAGCTCCAGCCCTGCCCTCAGCTCAGCTCTGGGGCTGAGCTGTTCCTTGTGCCCAGAGCTCTGAAGTCGCAGAAAACAAATCTGGTTTATGGTCAGGTTTAACAGGAAGGTTTTGGGGTGAAAAGGCTCCTTGGCAGCTTGATTTGCTTTATGAGATGAGAGAAGGAAAGATCCTGGTGGAGGTTCCAAAGCTAAAAGGGGCCCAGGTTTGACGTGGCTCACCTGAGGCACGCTCCAGTGCCCAGGGCAGCCCAGGAGGCTCCAGTGCTTTTTCTCTAGGACATTCTGTTATGTTCCACCAGTGCTTTCAAAATTAGGAATTGCAACATCTCTGACCTGCAACATCTCTGCTCAGCTCTGCTCACTGCTGCTCTTTGGAACGAAACTTCTGCTTGTTTTTTAAAGAATCTTTTTTTTAAACTCAATTTAGGGAAAAAATCTTCGCTTATTCAGTTAAATCCTTCAAGCCTTTTGCAAATAAACTCTCCTAATTCTGTTGTGATCCACTGGCAGGCTTTCAACACCAAAGCTCCTCAAATTTCAGCTACATCTGTGTCCCTTTCAGGGCACTAAAGCCATTTCTGTGTGGAGCTGTGCTCAGGACACATCCCCCAGGTTTCTGATGTACCTGTGGCAGGGAGGTTGTTGAGTTTTGAATTAACAATGTCAAGGGTATTGGTTTAACCTTCCAAAATTCCTCCCAGAAGGTTGTGAAGCCACTGCCCAGCTCTTCCCACCCCTGGACAAGATTTCTGGTTGTCCCTTTATCACTTCTTGCCTTGTCTTCTAAAGAAATAACCTCAACCTGTATTGTAAATTATTTTTGACTAAAAAACCCCCAACAATCTTTAAGCAAACTTTCCAGTTACCTCAGTCACCATGATCTCATTTGTGCTTTTTTGGTGAAAGGAACACCACGCTCCCTTTACCAGCATCGACTGAGATTAAGTTGTAAGCAAAGAATTATGGCACAAGAAATAGCAGCAAACTGGTTTGTCCAGGCAATGCTTCCAGTACCTGTGACCAAAAAACTGCTTTTCTTTCACTGAGCAATCACTCACACTGCCCTGCAGAGCTGGGAAGGGTGGGAAGCTGTTCCACAAAGCCACTGGGTTAAGGACACTTCAGGAGCACTGATATTTTGGGGTGGATTTCACAGTTTGTTGCATTCTCAGAGGTAACACCCACAAGAAGGGACTTAAAAATCAAAGAGGCAAAATCTCACTGGGCTCTGTTTTAACTCCAAATCACTTTATGAGTCTTTTAGGACTAACAAGGCCTCAGAGAGGCTGAGGCTGCCCATCCCTGGAGGTGTCCCAGGCCAGGCTGGATGGGGCTGGGAGCAGCCTGGGACAGTGGAAGGTGAGGGAAGGGACTGGATGAGCTTTAGGATCCCTCCCAACACAAACCATTCTGGGATTCTGGTTTACAGGTAGGAATTCACTGCTTTTGCTGCAGGATCCAGCCCTGGACCTGAGCACTTCTTGCAGCCCAGTTCATCATTAACCACAGCCAGATGGAATCTGTGTGGGCAGGGTGGGATTTCTCCCTAAAAAAATGTCCTTTTTTTTTTTCTTTCTGACCATTTCCCACCCAAATGGATGGCCACAGTTTAGTGGATGCTGTGTGCTTTGAGAGCTAATTCTTCAGTAGTTTTCTGGGAATTCTTAATCCACATTTAAAACTGTCCCTTCCCAGAAAACATCACCCTGCTCAGGAGCACTTTGCACGGTGTGACTTCACAAACAGCCCTGCAGCTGGAGGTGAAAACAGGAATGGAAAGATGGAGGAGCCAAAAAGCCCCACAACACACAAAGTAATTAAACAGTTGAATAAAATCAGCAATAAACTCTTGCTGAAGAGACAGAACACAAAACTCCTCCAGAGCATCTTCCCTCACCAAAGCCCAGGGAGGTCCCACAGCTGGGGAGGGCAGGATCCTCTCCCAGCTCCGAGGCACCAAAACCAGCTCAGAGCAGGAGCTGCTGGAATTCCCACCCCAGTGAGTTCCAGCACCTCTGCAAATCCTCCTCAGCTTGGATTTCCACCTCACACCAACCCCACTCCTCAAACCCACTTATCTTCCTCATTCCCAACAAGGTTTGTTGCCAAAAAATTCTAAAAAAATTTAAAATTTTCTGCAAACAGCTTCTTAATTTCCTACCATGTTTTCTTTTACATTTCTTTTTTTATTTAATGAATAGAAAAAGTATTCCATGATCTGTCTAGGGAGACCTAGACAAAACTGTAAAATCAAATTAAATGATCTTAAATGTCTGGTTATGGCAAGGTCAGTGAGGGACCCAGCAGCACCCAGTGACAATAAAGAACAAGGTCTGCACATGAATCAGTTTTGCTTTTTGACTAAAAATCACAAAATTGACAAGAAATTCTCCCTGGTTTATAAAATCAGATATTCTCAGACTTCATCTCACAACTTAATCTTCTGTCTAGGTTCCATTTATCCTGGATATCAGCATGTTCATTATTTTCAGGTATTGTGCTCAGATATTTCCTATTGTTTAAGAGCAACAGCCCTGACAAAGAAAGTCTAAAAGTCATTGTGGTGGATAGAATTTGATTAAAATGAAGTTACTGACCATTAAACAGAGCTCTGTTTTAATTCAATAATAGGGCTTTTAGAGCAAGGTATTGTTTAACATGTTTGAGGCTCCCCTCTAACAGAAATTGATGAGGTAATGCTGGAGACAGCTTGAGAAAAGTCAAGGATACCAGGACATTCCAAAAATCTCACTGTCTCCCAGGAACATTTTTTAACTCTGACATCAACCCTCCAATAAAACCCCAATCCAGCAGAGCTCCTGTGAATGCACTCGAAGTAATTCAATGCAAAATTATCTCCAAGACAGATGAAGTAGGAAAAATCTACTGGGTTTGGCTCAAAGCATCCACAGGAGAGTAAATCCTTGGAAATGTACCTGAGCTAGGGGCAGATCAAACTGTCTGCTGTGATTGATGCTGAGAAAAACTCAGGATGCTTAAAAGAAACCACATTTCTCTCTCTCCCTCTCTTTTTAAAAATAATGTTCAAATTAATTTTGAGTTTTGGTACAGAGGAGATGCTTGAGCAGAAGATCAGGAATAATAAAGCCAGGATTTGTTTCACCAGTGAAATGCCCTGCAAGGTTCTTCTGACACTCTTTTTCTTTGGAATTTTGTTTTAAAAGGAATTATTTCTGGACATTCCTCCCCTGAAACTTCTCTTGAGGAGTGTGGTTTTTATGTGAAAATAGTTATTAAACTTTGGGCAGCAAAATATCCATTTACCCTAGAGACGAAACCTTGGAAAAGCAGGAACACCTCAACATTTATTTTATGGATTTATATTATGCTGGATTCACTTTAGTTTAAAAAATAAAAAAACAACCAAACCAAACCTTCTCAAAATCAGGACACTCTATAAATTTCTACAAAATTTAACAGAATGGGGATCAAGCTCCACACACCAAATTTCTAATTCTGGTGTTTTATGATGTTGTAAATGTATAAAGTACTTCCAGTTAAGGAGGATGTTTATTGTCAACCTGGACCACTGCATAAAATCTCAGGTTTTTAGTATGTAACCACAGAATTCTATGATTTTTTTTCTATAATTTTATATAAATCTCCTCATTTTCTGCCACTACACCACTGCAAAAATGATCCCAGAAATGCAGGGGTGTGGGAGGGAGGAGCTGAACCTTGGTTTGGGGTGAAGGTTCTGTCCTGATGCCACAACCCTGAGCCTCAGGACCTGCAAAATCCTCCAAGGACTGGGGGAAGGAGCTGCAAGTGAGACCTAAACCCTGCGTGGGGCAAAGCCTGGAACAAAGCACCACCCCAGCACAGCTGAGCTGCCTCCTGCTGTACTTTTCCACTTGATGGGTGCAGGTATTAATTAATTACTGAGCTGGGAATTACTCACCCGATGAGGGCCACCATCTGCTCCACGATGTGTTTGCTGAAGGTGATGATAACGAAGAGTTTCTGTGGAGGAACAAGAGCAGTCACACAAAGCCTGGAGCACTTTGTGCTGCTTCCCCAGCAGCTCCTGCCCAGCTTTCCCTCCTCTCCTCTTGATTTTTCAAAACCTGGAGCACTTTGTGCTCCTTCTCCAGCAGCTCCTGCCCAGCTTTCCCTCCTCTCCTCTTTATTTTTCAACCTTCTCCTCAGAAAAGAGGTAGGAGAGAAAAAAAAAGCTGTTGTTCACTTTCTGCCCCTGTTTGTTCACAGTTTGCATTTCTTGCAGTGTTTTTTGCTGCCCATTCTCATCCTCCCCAAACTCCCATTCCCAGAAGCTCAAGGTCACTTTACTCTGTCAACAATGTTAGAATGGAAAAACAGCCAGGGAAATTCAGCCCCTCACACAAACAGGATCACAGAGGGGAAAATAGTGTGGTTTAGGTCCTGATTCAGACAGAAACAGCAAAAAAATCCTCAGTGAAAAACAAAGAAAGAGCCTTTGGGCACTTGTGAGACTATGATAAAACAGAATAATCAGTCCCTAATAATCCCAGTCCTAACCCTAATCCAAACTGTATCCTAAAACTCTTCATAAAAACAACTTAGCAGAGTAATATTAAATATTAAAATCTAACCTAGCAAGTTTTACCCCTAAATAAAAATCAAACCTAAACCCATGAGGCTCGTGTAATTCCAAATATAATATTTAATCATATTAAAAACTATTAAACATATTAAAAGACATATTTCAAATACAATTTCAACCTTACAAGAAAAAAAAGTCTGTGATTTATCTAATATAATTTTACAAAACAGAATAACTCTTGATTTCCTACTAACCACAAAATCATCAACACGTATGCAAATCAGAATTAAAAAAATGAAATGGAATGGACATCATTTTAGTAAGGTAATATAAAAGGAGTCCTGGGATGGCCACTGCACCAGTCACTCACTTCCTGTCTGAACATTGCATTAAAAGCCTTTTCCATGACTCTCACATTTCCTAAATTCCAAGTCCAGCCAGATCACTCCAAAAAATCAAGGCTATTGCACAAGGGTGTGCTTGAAAAAGAGAATTCTAAAAGCTGAGCCTATTACAAAACTAAATGATTTATCAACTGTACAAGGCACTGGGAAATGTTTTTTCACTTACATGGGATCTGAGTGTGGAGCACTATAAATTACACAGCAAACACTGTGGTAGCTGAACAAGGCAATTAAAATAATAAAGGAATACTGATCTAATATTATTTCACTTTTCTGTGCTGCCAGAACACATTTTAGCAACAGATGGATTTAAAAACAGAAGAAAACTCAGATAATATAAAAATAAGTGTGGAGAAAAAGTTGTTTTATCCCAAGAAATGGAAGAATTTCCAAATCTATTTATTGTTTTCTGTTTCAGCACTGGGCAAATTAAAACAACCATTTAAAAAATGATGGGAAGAAAAGAGCTTGTGTTTAGGGCAAAATAAAGATTTAAAAGCAGCTTGATGAGGCTGTAACACAAAATATTTTTTTACTAAAAGCTTCTGCTATTTTGATGGGAGTCATGGCAGAGGTTTCCAAACAAGAGAGGCACAGGCGCTGCAAAAACCCAAACTCAGCTGAAAACATCCCAAACACAGCTCATGCTACAGCCCTGACCACACCAGCAAATCCTCCAGGGAATCCAAACTTCATCTCTCCTTGGACCAGGGTGACGCATTTCCAAGCAGAGTTCCACGTTTTGTGCAAACAGCTGGATTTGGATTCTCAAACCCAGCACATCTGGCACGGCCCTGAGCGAGCAGGACAAACAGGGCCCACCAAAGTGACCTGGGACACCAAAACCAGCCCCAAAACTGCAGGAAATCCGCCCAAACTGGGCTGGCCCAGCCCGGCAGGGCTCAGTGGGGTTTTCTCAGTGAGCTAAAAAGGACATTTCAAAGTGCAAATGAGTGTTTGTTACCAAAAAGGAGTTCACTGCTGGAGCCCTGGCAGTCTGGTAAGGGCTGTAGGTAAATACTTTGGCTAACCACCAATTTCCTGAGCGGGTCAGCAGCTATAAATTACTCACTTGCCTCAGTTTGGAGCAACCCAGCAGCTCCTTTATTGTAAATCCCTTGCACCAAATTAATTTCCATTACTTCAAGTCGGGTAAGGAGACTGCAGGATTCATTCCCAAGGAACACAGTGGAACGGGCAGGGAAGGAATCAAAGGTTTCACCCCCCTCCAGCCCCGAGGCAGGGGCAGCACTTGCCTGGATGTGCATTTTAATCACAGCTTTTCCAATCAAGGTTGCACCGAAGAAGGTCCAGAAGGGAACCAGAAAGTGGCCACAAGTTATCCCAGCCAGGTCAAACAGGGGGTTTGGGATCTGTGGAGTGCAAGGGAGAGAGGTTCATGAGTTGCAGCACACATTGGATGGACAGGAACATGACAGAGTCTGAAATTTAGAAAAATGAACAGTTTCCCCCTCTCCAACTTGATCCAAAACTCTTGTGTCTTAATAATTGCAAAAATGTTGATGTCGCACCACATAACTTAAGGCTCTGGGGTTCAGCTAGACAATGTCCCAGACAATTCCATTCTCATGGTCCCTCCTTACCCCTGGATCCTGAAAAAAGCTAATGAAAAGTTTTCCGTGTGAAGTGCACAGAAACCACAGCAAAGCCATTTTGAGTGATTTATCAAATTTTCTCTCTGACAAGCACATCACTCTTGGAAGCCAGAGTTTCAACTGATCCCCAGTGATTTCCAGCTGAGAAACTACATTAAAAAACGGCATTTATAGTCATATGTATCCAGTTTAAAAACACTGATTAGATTTTATTAAGCATATGCATTTCATTTAAAATTAAAAGAATTTTTTATTATTATTAAACTGCTGGCCTGACTTTTGGTATTGTGATACTATCTGTAAAATATTTTTGAAATGAAATCAAGAAAGTGTCTGAATTCCAACTTTTCCCTCTCAGCCTGCAGCACAAGGGCAGTGTCTGAGCAGGGTCACTCCCAGGAGCACTGTGGTACTGCTGGTGTTTTGTGACTTAAATCAAGCAATAAAGAGTGCAGATATGGAAAGAATAAAGGACACTCTGCCACCAAGCCTGCAACCTGTGAGAAAGGGTTGGACTGGACTGCTGGAGAGCAGCAATTCAGATTGTTGCAAAAAAAATAAAATAAAAAAAAGGCACACAAAGACAAGAGGGCAAATTCTCCTAAGTCACAGCGAGGAACTTCAGGGCTGATTCTTGCTTTGTTCCTTCCCCAGAGCTGCCTTTATATAGAAATAAACTCCAGACAATCCTGACTTCCTCATTGCCACTAAACAACATGACAGTCAGTTGACTTCACTGGATAAGCTTGCAGAATTTTAATTTCCATTTGCTTGCTTTGGTGTTTTTATGCAGCATTTAGAAGCCACCACTTGAGAGACAAGGACCCACAGCTGGGACAGTCATTACCACTTCACCAGCAAATTCTCCACTCATAAAATACACATCAAATAAAACCCTGCCTAAAATCCAGAAGGAAGATGACAATTACAAGGGAGGCAAGCAGAGGGGACACCTGGTAGGGCACAGAGAAGCCCCTGGGCTGGTGGGGGCACAGCCAAAAGCAAGGAGCACACACGGGGAGCTGCTTTCCTTCCCCTTGCTCACCCAGAGGTGCCACACAGAGCATTCCTCTTTTCCAAGGAAAGCTCTGTATTCCTGCTTTTCCAAGGCCTCTGGAGCCTTCTCCAACCTCTCCCTTTCTCCTGCAGTTGTTGTGTGAGCACATTTACAAACCCCAGGTGTGCCCTGGTGCATCCTCATCCCTCCCCCAGCCCAGCTGCAGCTCAGGGCTGAGCAGGGCCTGGGCAGCAAAGTGCAGAATAAGTTAAACAAATGTTTAAGTATTACTGAGCAGGAACTCCGGGGTGTTTACAGCCACCTCTGGTGTTTACAAACCCCTTCCTCCTGCTCTCCACTCCTGCACCTTGCCCAGCCCTCAGCCCTGCCAGCTCCAGGCTGTGCTGGTGACAAGGACAGGGATAGCTGGGGCAGGGATGTGTCAGAGCAGGGAGCAGCTCCTGCCCAGGAGGATTTAAGGAGCAGCTTGTAGGCTAAACTCCAACATGAAGACATTTCAAAGGATTAGTGAGCAGGAGCTTTAGGGCAGCAACTCTGATCTGATTAATCCTAACACAGGTTACCCACATCTGAGCAAGCAATTGGCTGTGTCATCTTTATAATTTAGGAAACCAAGAGATGCTGGACAAGTGTGGAGTGAGAGCCTCAGAGCTGGGTAATGTTGTGGTTATTCCAAAAAAATGGGGCTGGGGGGATCACACACTTCTCCCCTTCACTGCAATCGTGTCCCACAGTTGGTGTGTGGGATAAAGAACAAGGCACACCATTCCTACCAGCTCCAGAGAGAGCTTGAAACCTCCAATATTATTGTTTTATTCTGAAAGAAGAACCATATCCTACTAAAAAAACCTAAAATAGCATGACTGGAGATGCTCCTTTCACCTCTTGATTTAAAAAGCCATGAGCAGTTTGTAGCTCCACAGCCACAACTGAAATTTGCTTTCTTTTTCTGCCCTCTCTGGTTCCTAATGACCCAAAGAGCAGATTTGGGAGGACTGGAATGAATGGAAGGACACCTGAATCAGGATTTCTGCAGGGGCTTTCCCACTCTCCAGTGCATGCACACCTCTGGATTTGAGGATGTCAAGAATGTCAAATACAATACATCAACACCTAAAGAAATCCCAACACAATTCCAGCAGATTTTGTTTCCTTGAGCACCACAGAGGTCACAGAAAGTGCAAACAAAAATTAATTCCACGGCAGAAGATCCAAGCTGCAGTTTGTGCCCATAAATCCCCAAATAAATAAATTTCCTGGGGAAAACTCACCGAGGCACAGGCCAGGATCCCAAAGAATCCAACCTTCTGCACCAGGTTCTGCACAGCCACTTTAGCCCGGGAAGCAAAGTCCTGCAAAGGGAAAAACACAATTATTCATGAGGAAAACCCACCTGAACTGAGCTCAGAAGGTGTGTGATTTCCAGCATTTCCTAACTGGGAACTGGGAGACATTTTAAACCAGGAAGGTTGGTGTGAAAGCCTGAGTTTAGAAGGACAATCGTGGTGAAAATCTGAGCACCACATGCACTGAGTTTTGGGGTTTTTTTTTAGTTTTTTTCCAAACCCTGTGAGTGGCACTAAGCTCCCACTGCTATGGAAACAGGTTTTCCACTATTTATTTCCCCATATCTTTGGAATGCCAGTGCTGCTTACACCTTATTCCTTAAACAAGCAGAGGGAATTCATTCCTCCAATGCCATTTCCAGGGGCAAAAAGGAACTTTCTGAGAACAGAAAGAGCACAATAATCCCATTATATCCTCAGATCTGTTCTCCCAAACCCAGGATCTCAATCAAAGCAGCCAATTCCAAGCACTGCCTACAACAGACTTGTAAAATTCATTAAAATCCTGAAAGCTGAGCCTAAATTACTTTAAAAGCAGGGAAGGTGCAGCCCCTGTGACTGGAGCTGCCTCCTTTTATTTTGTGATCAGTCCTTACTGCTGAGGCTCAAAATTTGCCAAACACCCAGAAAACCGCTTAAAAAACAAAACCAAAGATTCTCACAAGTAGTTTCTTTGCATGTGAGAAGGGAATTTACAGGAGATAAAATTCTTTTGAAGCTAAACTGTCCAGAAAAATAAAAGCAAGGTCAGTGCTCCCTGCTCAGGCTTGGTCACAACAGTTCCAGAAAGTTGGGAATCCTTGGGAATAGCAAACATTAAAAAATAACTACCCATTCATTTTTTAAAAACCTACAAATAAGCAATAAAATTCTGATTTTCCAGGAGCAATTCAATAAATTACCCAAGGAAATGACTTTAATCAATAATTAATGACATTCTAAATTCCACCCTTTACTATTGAATTGTAGCATCTAGAATATCATTAATTATTGATTAAAGCAACTGCAGGGTAATAAAAAAAATTACATTTATGCAATTTAAATTTTGTTACAGTTCCATCAAAACCTTAAATACTACACACCAAAGAAGGAAAACTACAATTATTTTACAATGTTCGTGCATATTATTTAGATTTTGAGCTGTAGAATTGACAAAATATTCTGTGGCAGATTAAAAAAATAATAGATCTGTGATGAGACCATTTGCTTTGTTTTACACCTCTTTTTCAAGTAGTAACTTTTATCCATTACTGTACTTTCAAACAGTTATATTCCCTATTGAAAATTCTAAAAATATCCCAAAGAACTAATTATTACTCAAGTCAGAATAATTTTATTTATTGTATTTAATGCCTGGAAAAATAACTCAAAACTGTAAGAAAAATGTCAAAGAAATGAGATTCTCCAAATCTTTCAGTGGGACATTTTTAACCACAGGGGAATATAAAAACCCTCAAGAATATCACAAAATGGAAAAGATCAAAATTCACTCTTTTAATGAAAATTTTCCCTGATATTTTCCTACTGAACTCGTAGGATCCCCACAGAACACGAGGGATTAAACCTGCTCCCAGTGAGGCTGACACCAAACCAATAAATCAGCTTATTCTGATAGGAAACAACCTGGAAAGTAAAATAATTTTTTAATTTTTCTTTTTCATTAAAAGAGAAAATTTTGACATAAATTGTTCTAAACAACAAAACACAACAATTTCCTGACAGCCAAGCCCAAAATTCTTGCGACATCCAGGGCAGTTCCTGCTGCAACCCCAAATTCCCTCGTGGTTATTTCCAAGGAAACAGAACCCAAAAAGGGGATCCCAGCTCCAGTGGGACCCTCAGGATTTGGGATGCAGGGAATAAAATACCCTTTTATTGATATTTTATAAAAACACCCTTTTATTTTATTTATTTCTAGGATTTTCCCCAAGGAAAACAACACCTCTCCAATTCCCTGGGCAAACACACGAGTGAGAAGCAGCCTTTAGGATTCTTTACAGATTAATTTAAACACCAAAAAGTGCTAAAGCAGATTTTGTCCTTGGGAAAGGTGTCCTGAAATTGTTCCTTTCTCAGGGATTTCTGGAGCAGAGCTCACTTTGGCCATTTTCAGCTCCTATTTTCTCCCCCATTTCCCAAAGCTCACAGGGTTTGAGCAATATTTTCACTTTTATAAGCCAATAAATATTTTTTCCCTCGCAGTTCCATAAATCTGATGGCAAAGTATCTTGAAAATAAAACACTCCAAGACAATTATTCAAGTGGCTCCATGATTTATTTGCATGGAAGTTGTTTCTATTCTGATTTTAATTTATTCCCCCATTATCTTTTACTGTGTTGCTAATGCACTGTTGTATTCATTTTCACAAGCTGGAATTGGAAATAAACTCTCTAGCAAATGACCTATAAACTAATACTTGCAGCACAGCAGCTTTAATAAAATATATTATTATAATTAGATATAAATTGACTGTATTAACTTAGGGTAAAGCACAGTGCACTGTTTTTAACCAAAATTCTTAAAAAGAACCAGTTTCCCTCACCCACATTTCTCAACTACAAAATTCAAGGCTGCCTTGAAACTAATATTTTCCCTCCAGCTAGAAACATATAAAACATGAAAAAGCTAATAATGAAGGTCTTTAAAAAAAAGTTTAACAAGTTTGTCTCAAAAAAAAAAAAAAAAAAAAAAACAAACCAAAACCCCAAACCAATGTTGGAGCAAATTTTCTCACCTTGTTAATTCATAACTTTATTTTTTTAAGTTATTACTCAGCTTGTTTCTTTGTTAAGTTCTGGTTTTACATTGTCTATCACAAAGTACTTCATGGAAAGGAAAATTTTAAAATTTTAAATTCTAAAAATTTCACTCAAGAACTTGTGATTGGTCTTTCTTTTTTCCAAATTTTATAAATAAGCCAAAAGACAAATTAAAGATTTTTTTGGTACCTATTTTCTATGATCTAATGTAATCAAAGCTATGAATAATTTGCAGGGTAATAAACCTACTAGTGTTGCAACAAAACTATGAATTCCAGCCTCAACATTTACTCTGTGAAAACAAGTTCAGAACTATTTCTCTTTGGTTCCTTCCTTAAATATTTTTTGACAAATCTTTGCGACATCTGCAACAATAAAAAAGCCTTAAAAGTTTCATTTCTCTGAGACTACAATCCTCAGTTTTACAGCTTTTACCTATTTCACAATAGAATTTTTTTCTTCTTTTCTAAAGCCTGCACAGGGAACAATCTTTTCTCTGTTTTTTTAAGCATTTGAAATAAAAGAAAATAACTTGCATCAATTACTGCTTTAAAAAATAGTATTATTTTATATATATAAATATAAATATGTATGTGAATTTTATATATATATATATATATATGAAAAGAGATAAAAGTTCAGCTACTTACAGGCAAACCATTTTCCCCCCAAATTAAAGTCTAGACTGGACTGGCCTCCCAGATAATTGTGATTCATTCTTTATAACATTTCAGGATGCTTTAGCTCACTGTGTCCCTTTCAGAGATGATTTATTTTTTGGGGTTTGGGAATAGATTTCCTGTGAGTGCCACGGCGCAGGCAGAGGAAGGTGAAATGATTAAAGATGACTTCACTGGGTTAATCATCACATGCCAGGATCTGGGCTGGAACAGAGCATGGAAAGGTCAGGGATGATTCCCCAGGCCCAGCTCGGGTGGGGGAATTGTCCTGGACCTGCTCAGCCTCAGCAAAAGGGAATTTTTCAGCATTTGCTTGACCCCACTGGCTCCATGGGATAAAAAAACCCTCCCAAATTTCCAAACCTAAAGGGATGGTAAGGAGAATTTAGATGTTCTACCTCATTGTTCCTCCCTGTGTAAATATGGACCTTTTATCCTTGAAAAATCCTTCCTGAAAGAGAGAATGGACAACCTTGTCTATGTTACAAAGTTCTGCCCCATCCCTCTGTTTTATTTGGTTTCCATTTATAATTTAATCTCTCTCTCCCCTCACTGTAAAGTTGGTGAGCTCCTCAGTGTGAGGGAAGAACAAGCACCTCACCAGATTTAATTAACAAGCTCAAGGAAAAAATAATTTTAATAAATATTTTTTTCCTCTTTTCCCTCTGTAACAGAACAGTCACAATTAACTGTTCCCACTGAAATTGTGGAGACTCTTTTCCCTTACTCTGCAAGTGCAGAGCTGGTTGATTGATCCACAGGAGTAATTAGGGTTGGAGTGAATCCCACAAAAAAACCTGTAACACTTCCCCAGCTCTGTTCTCTGAAGCCTGCACAGATTAGGCAATGTGATATTTCATTTCAAACAGTTGCAATCAGGTTTTAGCAGCACTGAGAAATCAGTGGCACCCATCAGATCCCAGCTCAATCTCTGAAAAAAACAACCAGATCCAGATCCCAGGGATTTGAGGCCTAGGCAAACTTCTCTCCCTTTTCTTTTCTGCTGTAAATAACTCAAGCTTTACAAATACATTGGTAAAATTGGCAGATTTAACACAAAGATTGAGCCAATTCTATTAGTGTTGGGATTTTTGATTTGGGAAGAATGATGTGTAGGATTTAAATTATTTTAGAAGGTTAATTAATTATATTATACTATATTAATAATAACTATTATTAACTATTTAACTAGAAAACTTGTGACTCTCTCTTGAGAATCCTGGTATACACATGGATTTGATTGGTTAATGAATTTAAATAATCATTACTAGAATTTAATTAAGTAATTACTTTGGGTAAACAATTTTTAGAACACAGTCTACATGGGCACAAACACGGGAGTAGTGAATAAGATGAGAATTGTTTTGATTCTCTTTTCTCTGCTTCTCTCACAGGAGAAATCCTGAGAAAGCCAAGCCTCCCTCTGTTCAGAGGACATGTGAATACCACACAATTCCATCCCAAGCTCATGGTGCACATGAAATTAAAAGATTTAACTTGATATGAAGAGAAGTTAAAATATTTTCTAGAAGGTCTGGAAGGAGGCACACAGGATTTGTGACAGGAACACAGGAGCATGAGTGAAATAAAATGAAAGGGCATAGAGAGAGACCTGAATGTGTTTCACCTCAATGATTCTCCAGGAAAACTCTGGAGCAGCTGGAGAGGGAAATTCATCCTCCTGCAGATTCCCCAGGCCAAATGGGTCTCTTTTGTGTGGACAATCCCTCAAGATTTGAGTATTATTTCTATTACTGCTATAATAAAAAAGTTTAATTATCCAGATAATCATCTGAAGTGGAGAACATTTTTTTCCCCCCAAAGACTGAAGACTGGGTATGAAGCTACCACTTAGATCACCAAAATTATAGAGCCCTTAACATTTAAAGAGCTGCCTACAAAGACAGTGCCCCTCTTTATGTAAAAATCCCAGTTATGTTAAAAATGAGCTGCACAGTATTCTGTTTCTTCTGGCTTTCTGTTACAACACAATGGAATCAAACACAACTTATGGGAGAATGACCATTTGTGGTCAGGCAATGGATTCCAGGATTTCAGACTGGGAGGAATTATTAACTCCTTGGAATAAAGCACTGACTGGAGCAGCTGCAAAGGAGTCAGAGAGGTACCCAAGGCTGGGAGGTCACAACAAATCCAAATGCTTCAGCACTCACTGGCCAAAAACCACTGCTCAACCCCCCCAAAATATCAAAAGTATGAGTAAATTACAAACAGGAGTATTGTGATAGCAGCTCATGGATCCTTGTTCCAGCTTTCTCCAAAATACTTCCAGTTAAATGTAAAGGGGTAAACTAAAAGGGGATATTTTAATTTGATGCCTGGAGAGCAGGGGTAGTGAGGGGTAAGGTTTAAACTTCCTTATCACCCAAAAATCTGGGAGAGAAAGGTCCTGTCTGGGAAATCAGACTCCCAAAAAAGGAAGCTGGAAAAAGCTTTCAAGGATTATTGAAAGCAGTGATGGGATGGTGGCAGAACTAAGCAAGCATCAAGTCTGATGAAAGAAAGGGATTTACCCACAACAGGCATAGGGCAGATATTCCACATTCTAAGTAAGTTTCACTTCATGAGAAATCTGGGTTTTCTGAGACATTAAATTCTGGAAAAGGAGTTGGGTAATCATGGAAAAGTTGCAAGAGAAAAGGACATAGATGTTGAACATGAAAACAGTTTTAAAAAGTACAAGATGAAGGCAACCAAACAGCAATAAAACTAACTTGGCTTCTCCAAAGAACTGTGGAAAGAAGAGAGCAGCACCCACAAAGCCTCATTAAACAGACTGTGCTGGAGATCTGAGGGCTTGAAACTGGTAAGAGTTCAATATTCAGAATATCTGTAGGCAAGGATGAACATACAGTAGATATTACAGACTAATCCCAGGTCAACAAGAAATTCTATCTACAGGTGGATTCTTCCATTGTGAGGATGAGAATGCAGGACACAGATTGAGAGGTTATTGATAGTTATTTCCACATCTGTTTGTCTTCAAATTCTTGAGGCTGGCTGCATGTTAAGGTTAAGGGGTGATGCTGCAAGCCAGAGATAATCAGGAGGATGCTCGTCTGTGGGACTTTGTAAACTCAGACATGAGTAACTACAATTAGTTCCAGGGACAGAAAACTTAAAGTTTTTCTACAGAAAATACAATTAAACCCTGTGTCCTCTTATCAGATTTTAAAAATGCTGTTAGATGTTAGAAAAGGCAGACAAAAGAAGCCACAGAGTTGTGTGAGGAGTTGAATTTTTTGCAAGCCCTGTGGCAGCAGAGACAACAGAGTGAAGTGTTCATTCCAACAGCAGGCTTGGCTTCCCTGGTCATTTAATTTCAGCCTGTCTTGGAGTAAAATTATTCGAAATTATGGGTCCATTTTATGGTAAAAAAGATCTCCCCATTAACAGGAGTAGGAATGAAGTCAACCAGCTCTGGATCAGTCCATTAGTTCCACCAGGAACTTCCAGGTATTTTCTTCATTTCATTAATCATCTGGATCATGGTAGGAACATTTTATTTCCCTCCTTTCTCCCTCCCCCTTCTCAAGGGAAAAACCTGCAGAAATGTTTTTTTACAATAAACTCCATCTCAGCAGCTTTCATTTCAAGACTTCAGCCTGTTACAATCCACACTCAGGTTCAGAAGGGAAATACCAAAAGAAACACAGATTATAGGGCTCAGTGAGCTCTAGAACTCAAATTTAAATCCAGCTTTTTTCACTGTTAGAACTGAAACCCTCAGACTTCTACATAAAAAGTCCTTTCGCTTCACAGGCTGTAAGAATAAAGAAATTTCGTAAAGAATGAGACACAATTAAAGGAAACAGCCTAAAGGAAGAGGAAGGAGCGTGTCCTTTCAGCCTTATCAGATCTGTCCTGCAGAGCTGTAGCCCCTTTAACCACATCCCCTGCCACCTCTGCTCCTCAGAGCAGCAACGTGTCCACTTTGACACTCTGCAGCTTTCCAGCCGTGCACAGAAACATGAAATAAACTGATTTCTTTCCTTGCTGAACAACCTCTTTCTATTCACATCTGGCAGGAGACCTGGCAGAGCAGATCCTGCAGCCCATTTTCAAGGAGGGGAGCTGTCAGTGGCAATGTCAGCAGCACTGGAGGAGATTTCCCAGGGAGTTTGTGCAGCCTCCAGCCCTGGAGGGCTCCAGGACCAGTCCAGACAATGCCCTGAGGAACCTGAGATGGACTAGGAAAAAAAAAAAAAAAAAAAAATCTGGACTAGAAACTGCCTCAGGTCCCTCTGGAGGTGAATTTTTCTGTGATTCCATGACAAGATAATACAGCCACAGGCAGGAGATGAGTGGAGTAAAGGAACATCCCAGCACTCCCAAAAACCCCACTGCAGCTGCTCATTTATCTCAAAGCTACCACTGCAATCAGTTATTGTGGCCACAGCTCTGCCAATTCCAGAATATTGTTCATTTAAAAAAATCAGTCCTAAAGAATTGAGCCCTGTTTTGAGGTGGTTTAAGATCCAGACATTGTGAGGAAGGAATTTTTGATAACTAGTCATGAAAACTGACATTTTCAATCTCTGATAAACCTGAGAACTCGAAGCCATCAGCACTGAAAAAAATACTGTTTCTCCACATAGGACTCAGACATAAGTTAAGGATTAAAATAGAATGGAAGTGAGGAACTTCTGACACAGCTGACAAATCCTTTAGCACACACAAGTTTTCCCTCTCAGCCCAGATGTGCAACCTCTCCCCTGCTCTCCCTGGAAGGGACAGAGCTTCCCAGACAGCTCAGAGAAGTGCTCTGCATACCAGACTCTTGTACAACACAGATATTTAAACAGTGTCTGGAGCAGGAGGGAAATAAAGCAGTCATTATCTTGATTATGATACTAGAATGAATTTCTATCAGTTATTGAAAGTTGTCCTTACAAAAAATATTTAAAGCAGTTTTTCTGACCCAGCTTTTGATCATTTATTGGTCTTTCTCAGAAAACTGAGGAGTGAAATATCAAGTATTTAGGGACAAATTTTCCCCTTAGAAACTTGTGTTGAGCATTCCCAACACACATAGAACAGACCATGAAAATCCAATGACAGAATTCAACCACCTGCTTTTCCACAACTCCTGTGCAAATGCAGCTGCCAGCATTCCCAGCACCCTTGGTGACATTATTTCTAATTTCTGTAGTAAAGTGAGAAATTCGTTACTGAGAAAATCCTCCTGACCTAATACTGAGTGAAAAATGTTGCAAAGTAACCCAGGTTTCCTCACTGCTTTCTGATTTATGTACTTCCACACTGAACATTAAAATAATTGTTTAGGGAACAGACACAAAGAGCCCTTCAAAATAGAAAGTCATCTCCAGTCACCATTAGTAGTTAGTGCAATGCCCTGTGCTGTTTTTTCCTTATCTGTGAGCAGGTGTGCAAATGAATAGAACAATGTGGGCACGTTCTCCTGCCAGTGCCCAAAGAAATCCAACCAGGAGGTGCTTTACACATTCCTTACTCACAGCTCTCATTGTCTTCCCTCTGCCTATTTTAACTCTTTGCTATCTCTTTTCTCAGGAAGTGCTCAAATTCCCTTATTTAAAGCTGCCATTGACTCGTTCCAGAACTTATTTTAAAGTAGGTAATTCTGCAGAACAGTTCAGAACTGAGTTGTTACTCAGTGTACCCACTGCTTGTTATATTGTCTCTGAAAACACACTGTCACTCTGCCACCTCACTCCCCAGCACTTGTGGGGAATTTCTAAAGTGCAGCCTCAAGGTTTGATCGGTTCTGAATTTCTGTTTAATTACAGAGCACCATAAAAGAGGGCAGAAACCTCCCCTAGAGCTATTAACAAATACTGGCATCAAACTTAAGGAATGCAGGGTGTGAGAAGCAGCCTCCTGGTGACCACCCACAGCAGCAACCTCCTTGTGCAGTTAATAAATAACAATTAATAAGGAGAGGAAGCTGATGAGGAAAGGGAAGACTGAGCAAGAGAAAGGATGAGTGGAATTTGATGTTCTGTTTCCATAAGTGATTTCTGGGAAAAAAAAAACCAAAAAAAACAACAAACCAAAAAAGGAATAAAAAAGAAGACAAGGTTTCCCAGTTATTGTACATGACCCTTCCACTTCCATTTTTATGATAAATGCTTTATAAAAACCTGCTTGCGGTCTGCTTTAACTTCTTTTTTCTTGTACCAAGTACCCTTAAACGCGGTTGATTAAACAAACCAGCAGCCTTTTCAAGCAGGAACTTATCAGATAGGAGTTGTTAATTTAATCACGGGAGAGATCCGTTTTGAATTTAGCCATCTAAAACGCTGCTAATTAAGTGAGATTTCTCTCATTAGTCGTGCCTAATCATTCCCCGGGAGTGAAGTCAGCATCGTGTCAGAACACAGCGCTGGTTTCTCCCGGGTGTGGCACGGGCTTTGCTCTGCTCCAGCACCGAGCAGCCCCACGTGGAGATGTGGGGAAGCAAGGCAGGGATTCCAGAAAAGCTGGAGGCAGGGATTCCAGAAAAGCTGGAGGCAGGGATTCCAGCAAAGCTGGAGGCAGGGATTCCAGCAAAGCTGGAGGCAGGGATTCCAGAAAAGCTGGAGGCAGGGATTCCAGAAAAGCTGGAGCGATGCTGTGCCCGTCAGCGGCAGAGAACCGCGGATTTAACCCCTTGCAGCCCTCGGGAGCAGGAAGGGGCTCGCTGGGAGCACTGCCACAAGCCAAGGCAGGCGGCTGCAGCTCAGTTGAGTACAAACCCTCTCGAGTCCACGTTGACAAA